ACTATCATAGTGATATCCTAAGATATTCTGTTATCTGAGATCAAGGACAAAATTCTCCCTCCTACCCACTACCTTCAACACACAGAGATTAACAAATCTACAGAAGCCTACTGATGCAAAATTGCCCACCATCATCCCAAAGGGCAGCAGGATAGCTTGAGGGGTGCAGAACAGACTGCCTGGAATACAGAGCAGTGCAGCAGATTGGCCAAAGAAAGCCCCTGCCCACTTGACAATCTCCAGCAGTTGCTATCTGTATGCTTATGTTATTTACTCAGTGGTGCATACGAGGGTCAAAGTCCACAGCTCACATAAGTACCTATGGGATTGCAGGTGACGGGACACCAGCAAAAAAGCCCAGTTTCAGCACCTGGACAGATACAAATATGTTGGAGCCAGCCAGACTGATGTTCTATTTCAATGTAAATGTATTAGCACCTGAAGAGACTTGCAGTTTTTACACGATAAGAAATAATAATTAAAAAAACATCAGGGTATTAGCAGCAAATGACATTTTACTCTAATAATAATGAATTTAAAATGCAAAAACAGCATATTCCCGAATATTTTTTTTTAAGTTGAAAAATCAAAGAGTTGTTATCAGCACTGTCGTTTCTAACAGAACCATAGATTTGGAAGAGATCCCAAGAGTCATGCAACCCAACCCCCTGCCATGCAGGGATACTTAATGAAAGCAGATGGCAAGCTAGCCTCTGATTAAAAACCTCCAAAGAAGAAGACCCTGCCACACACCAAGGAAGTGCGTTCTTTCATCAAACAGCTCTTACCACCAGGAAATATTCCTAATGCTTAGGTGAAGTATTTTTCCTGGAGTTTGAATCCACTAATCTTTCCCCAGTCTCTGGAGAAGCAGATAACAAGCTATCTCCATCTCCAATACAACATATTTTCTAGAATTTAAATAGCTATTGTTTCCCCTCTTAAGCTTCTCTTCCCCAGTCTAAACATACCCAACTTTCTAAGCCACTTCTCATCATAGGGTAGGGTTTCAAAACCTTTTAACCTTATGGTCACACTCCTCTGGATATCCTCCATATTGTCAATAACCTTTTTTTATTGTGGTGCCCAGAACTGGACACAGTATTCCAGATGAATTCTCAACAAACAGAAGAGAGTGGTACTATAACTTCCCTTTAAATATTATACTTCTATTGATGCATCCTAGAACTGCATTGTTGTCAAGACAGGTGTCATCCATCCTAAGAATTCTAAAATTGATATTTTTTTTTGCCACTGATTCCACTTCCATCTTTGAGGAAAGGAAGGGGCCTGGTTTCACATCCACATTGTGCTTGCCCTTTGCACTCTTTTCCAGGTTACATGCCCTGCTGTGTGCCATCACTGACTGGGTGGAAGAAGAGCATGACGTGGATTGATTCTGCAGCAACAGGAAGCATTTTCATTTTCCAAACCAGTCTGTCATCCTCTTTTCTTGGCAGTGCAGGGAAAGGGGGACAGATTGGGTCCATGCTCTTCCATCACTGCAACAGACAGCCACCAGAACTCTGGAGAGCTCCTGGCTATCAGCAGGCACACCTATTGACATCAGTAAAAGTACCTGCCAAAGGCCAGAAGCCCTCTCACAGCTCCATGGGCATCTGCTAGCTGTGATGGGGACACCTAACATAAGGTGACCATCCAGCAAGGCTGAACTAATTTTGGCATGGCTGGATGATCTGGATTCAGCTCTAGACTCATTGTGCCCAAGACAGGGCTGGAGAATTGATACTTTGCACTGGTCTTGGATTTTTGGGCATGTGTAAATTTGTCTGTGACACAATTTTGGAAGAGAAACAGAGGGAGGCAGAGGTATTTTAGTGGCAGGTACAGACCACAATGGATATCAGGGTGGAAAATTGGCCCCTTTCCTCATGTGGTTGCCTATTCCTGGAGTGGATTAAATTCACACCGTCAGGGTGTCAACATAGCAGTTTTGGTATATTGGTATGGAAATCCCCATGTGATTCACAACTCACTGCAACTTCTTCCCCTACCACTATAAACATAATACACTGTGGCAGAAGCAGAATCCATACCATTGTTGGCCCAAACCTGGCTCAGACCTGCCAGATGGTCACCCTTGCCTGAACTGTCATCCTTGTTGTTGTGATTAATGCAGAAATAAACACCAAAAAACAAAAAACAAAAAACAAAGCAAATGCACACTTATAGACTGGGGATACTTGATGTGCCAATACTAAATGTGAACATAGCATTGGAACTATTGTTGCTTGCAGACTGAATATGGCCCAGTAATGTGGTGCTACAGCAAAAAAGCAAATACTAGTTAAGCATGCATTATTAGAACCAAAGTTTCAAAGCCAAGCAAAGTATATTAGTGAAGCCTCGACTAGTGTAATGGGTTCAGTTTTCTTTGCTTGTTCATTCTTCCTTTAATTTGTATTATTCCCTGATGCCAGTGGGAGGAAATGAACCATTACATTTCTAGGGCTGGCACTGCTTCATCACTTTTGGCAGCATGTTCAGGACAAAACAATTCCAGTCTGTCCCTTTTGCCTTTCCCAGTGTCAAACCTCTGTCATCAAAAATGTAAGAGTATCAGAGGCTTACATGAGGACTGGGAGAAGGCCCACAAGTTTAAATTCCCCCCTGTGAAAGCAGTCTTCCCTCCTCATTCTTGGAAGAAGAGGCCAAAAATATCCTAGGATATCCTCCCTAGGGCTATATGATTGTCTTAGGAATGTCAACGTGAACCCATTTTTCTCACTGCACACTAATGGAGATCATGAGGCTACTTTCAAGAATACTCACCCTACCTTTGCAGACCCTCTTGACAGACCCTCCCCAATGCCCTCCTTTGATGCAGCTAAGCCCCTCAGTCACCCATGTTACTTACAAGTGAAGACTATGGCTGGATGTACACTGCCCTATATCCCAGGATCTGATTATCTGCTTTGAACTGGATTATATGAATCTACACTGCCAAATAATCTGGGATAGGCAGATAATCTGGGATCAGATCCTGGGATATAGGGCAGTGTAGAAGGGGCCTAAGAAGCCAGGAATGGCAGCTGCCAAAAACATTTATTAATGGCCATATAGCCTCAGTTTCACATAATTTGATAGTGCATATATCTCACTCAAGATTAAATATGCTTTATAAATTTAAAAGAATCAGGTGATTTCATTGTGTCCTGATAATTCACTTGAGCAATATATTTCAAACTGAGAATTGTAGATAATATATTATTTTACAGAGGAAAAATGTTACACAGACAAACTGGGAATTAATGAGAATTATTGGAAATAGTCTGCTATATACAGACAGTCCCCAAGTTATGAACAAGATGGGTTCTGAAGGTTTGTTCTTAAGATGAATTACTTTGCAAGTTGGAACAGATACATTTTATGTGTAACGTCAGCCATATTTACTTATTTATTTACTTCATTTCTACCCCGCCTTTCTCACCCTACAAAGGGGCTCAAGGTGGCTTATAGCTCTGACAAGAATTCAATGTGAGTAAAAACCAACAATAAAACATACTCCCACAGTTAAAACAATTAACAGGTGATCAATAAACATATAAAACAATATACAAATTAAAAACATATAAAGTGCATCCAAAATACTTGCTCATAATCCTTATTCAGACCATGTTGAAACCCATCATAACTTATTCTTCGAACATTTGTGTACAAAGCCAGGTCTTTTGCTTTTTTTTCTACAAACCAGAAGGGCTGGGTCCTGCCTGATGTTGCTAGGGAGGGAGTTCCACAGCCGAGGGGCCACCACTGAGAAGGCCCTGGGATGGAGAGCAGGGCCTCCCCAAACGATCTTAAAGTTCTAGTAGACTCATATGAGGAAATGCGTTCAGGCAGACAACTTGGACCAGAACTGTTTAGGGCTTTATAGGCCAAGACCATCACTTTAAAATGGACTCAGTAGCATATTGGCAGCCAGTGGAGTTGACGCAACAGAGTTGTGTGCTCCCTTGTATGCCACTCCAGTTAGAAATCTGGCTGCCCTCCATAGAGAGGTAGAGAGAGAGAGAGAGAGAGCGCTTTAGATAGCATAAAGAAGGTTAACACGCCTGTGGTATTTGTTTTGCTGCCTGTGTCCCTGTTCAGAAGATTTCACTGCATGTTCTTTCTCTGTGATAACTGGATTTTGAAAAACTTGGCTTTTGTGGAAACAAGGACCGGTGATAAAGCTTCAGTGGAGATATCTTTTCCCCATCATAACTCTTTCAGGAGTGAATTTCCCTTCCAAGGAGTAGATTTGTCTCACTTCCTCTTGTCTCACCCCTGTTCTTAACTATGGGTGGTTTGTAAGCTGGATGTTTGTAACTCAGGGACTTCCTATATATATATGCATATAGGTTGCACAGGCAGACTTTAAAAAATATTAAGTTAAAAGTTGCAAGTTCTACTAATTTTACAAAACAAGCACTCAGTAATTCCTGATAATATTTTGAAAAAAGAAAAAATATTTTGTCCACCCAAATTAATGAAAATTGATGCTTGCTGCATTGATCTAAATTACTATATCATTGAAAAATAGTATTTCACATATGGGTCAACATTTCTGAAACAATGTATCTTCTAAACATCTATATGCATTTGAATAGATAACATGTAAAGCAACTAACAGTGTGAAGTAGCGAGGCACTTCTATACATTTCTATCTCAGATTTCTTCCTTTCTTCATGCAATGAGTTGTCCAATACACTTAATTGCTGCATAGGATTTTAAAATAATATCAATAGTGAAACATAACATAACTAATTGCCTGTACTATTATCTATTACCATAGTGAAGTAATGAAAACACAATCCAAGGAAACTACTGTTCTATATGAACCCAAATACCAACATTAAAATTAGAAGAAATATATCCATTGCTTGAGACTTCCTCTTAGGTGCATCCTTAGCAATGTTAAGCCTCTTCAGTCATGATGACATAAGGAAGATTTTTAATTATTAAAGCAGACTTTGGTGATCCATGGACTGATTACTCACCTGGTGATTTCATGTAATATTGCTCAATATCAGACATGTCCGTATTCAGTGCACACTTGAGATAGCTGAGGATAACTTTTCTACTGAAGTAGTACCTCATACCCATTAGAAAGATGGGTAAACAGCAGGTCAGCAGCAAGGACTTGGTCACAACAAAGCACATTACTATGGAGATAAGGAAGAGAAATAAACGATACCTGTCAGAAAAGAGAATTTAGTGTTGATTTTGGAACATAAACCCATAAGTCATAAATATTACACAGCAGCTATAACAACAATAATGTTTTCACAAATTTTTACATGTAAAATGTGTTAATACAACAGGCTTTATGAAAAGAAAGAAAATCTGTTTGATTCATTTAAGATTCCTTCATATTAACAATTAAGATCCTCACACCATCTTGTTAGCCGCTTATTCAAAATTATTCAATATGTTTTTTAAAATAATAAATAAATAACAACAACAACTCATATTTTTACTGCTTGAAGATCACCAGTTATATGCAAGAGTAAGTAAATAGTTTTGGGTGTCTTCGGAAACAAAAGTGTGATATACAATCGCTTCTTTACAGATGCACAAAAGTATTTTTAAAGAATCTCTTTTCCTAAATTAAGCACAAGTTTCTGATGTGCTTGGGGTCCTAGGCTGGATCAACATGGCTATATAATGCAGATTCAGATTGCAGATTAACTGCCGTATAATCCAGTTCAATGCAGTTAATCTGTATTCTGAAAATGCATTATATAACAATGTAGATCTAACCCTAGTGCAAGGAATTGGGAGATTTAACCTCAAATAAGGGAAGATATGAGTATCCATGTGCTTACTTTTGGAAATCTCCAGAACCTTTTGGAGATTTTATAATCTTTGGAAAGGGATGATCTTGTTAGAAGCCACAATCTTTTGAAAAAATGATGTCATAATCTTTTGGTAAAAAAACGATCTGTTAGAGTCATAATCTTTTGGGAAAATGGAATTCACCAACATTCATTCAAGGCAACTAGATTTCTCAGCAGTTAAACTGTTGTACCTAGGTATGTCTTTGAACTGTGAGGGACAAAGACATGCCAATGAACAAAAAACATCTATATTCAATAGAGTTTCAAAAGTGTTCTTTTTAGTTGCCCAAAACACATCTATTCTCCCTTAAAATATATTTGCATTTAAATCGTGCTCTCAAGAGACAAAAGGAAGTAGACTTCTTTAAAAGTAACATAGTTGATTTACTCACAAACTTCATGTATTCATAATACAGATATTTTGCTTATCAGTCCAGTTACAAGTAGATTTGAAGTAGTTTCTCTGTGTAGGTAACACAAGGCATCTTTCTCATAATCAATAGTCCATAATCTAAAGCATACCTCTGTTTTGAAAATCTAATAGTCTCTGCCTAGTTTTTAAGCACATTTCTCTACTGAAGTCTAAACTGTACACACAATTCCTACATTGAAGTCTAAAGCAAACACTAGTCTTAAACTTCCTCAGATCTGATCACATGCTCTGCAGCCCCTGCCACAACAAAGAGGTTAAAGAAAATTGCAAACCAATACACACATATATAACACAGTAAGCAATTTATATACATAACAAATAACTAGTGGAGGGTTGAGAAGGCTGCTATTTCAAACATACTGATCGTTTACTTGTTATTCTATAAGAAGCCTGAATGAATAATCATCTTATAAAAAGCCCAGTGCATTTCAGCATATTCGTTGAACTGAATGACTTTCTTCAGGGGTTACAACAAAATCTCCCCTCATAACCAGGATGGTTTGACAATAAAAGAGGCAGAAGACGGAATAATTATTTATTATATTTAACATGCTACACTTCCGAACTCTCACTTCTCTCTAGCTTACACAGAGCCTTAAAATGATCAATTTATTCCTAAATCAGACCCTTCAGCATAAGGGTTCAGTCCTAGGCCTACTGCCATTCCACGTTTTTATGAATTACTAGCTTGGGTACCCAGCATTGCCCGGGTTATTTGAAAAAGTCATTTTTTAAAAAAAATAATTACAAAATGCATGATTGTAGGTGAACTACAACTCACATCATGCCAGGTTAACCCCCTGAAACTCCATCAATATTTAAAGTTTGTTATGTTGGGCAAGTTTGCTCTCTAGCTGCATCATCGGTGGAGTCCGTGTGTTCTCTGGCTGCAGGGTGAACTACAGCTCCCAAAATGGTGGGTCAGTCCCCTCAAACTGCTCCAATAGGTTCAGTTGGTCATGTGGGTTCTGTGTGCCAAGTTTGGTCCAGATCCGTCATCAGTGGTGATCACAGTGGCTGTAGATGTAGGCAAACTACAACTCCCAGAAATGAAGGTCAGTTCCTATCATGGTGGTTCTGTGTGCTGAGTTTGATCCAGGTCCATCGTCAATGGGGTTCACAGTTTCCCTGGTTGTAGGTGAACTACAACTCCCAAAAATCAAGGTCCCTCTCTCCCAACCCCCCCCCCCCCCAGCATTCAAATTTGGGCATATTGGGTATGTGTGAAATTGTGGTCCAAATCCATCGTTGTTTGTGTGCACAGAGCTCTCTGGATGTAAGTGAACTACAACTCCTACAAATCAAGGTGAATTTTCCCCAAAGACYTCCAATGTTTTTTGTTAGTCATGGGGGTWCTGTGTGCCAAATATGGTCCAGGTCCATTGTCATGGGGGTCACAGTGCTCTGTCTTAATGTAGGGTGAACTACAACTTCGTCATGTTGAGTCAGTCCCCCAACCCGCTCCAGTATGTTCAGTTGCTGCTAAAATTTGCTCTGTTTGTTGTGTGCCGTAGAAAATAATAGGAAAGGGTTATGGAAGAGGCAGTGGGCGGGATCATGCAAATTCCACACCAGTGGATAGAGTCAGAAAGACTGAGATGTTTGTGGTGGAGGAAACACATAAAATCTAGGATGAAATTGTCCCCATATGAAAGCATTTGCTTGGGTGGTGGGCAGTGTGGTGTTTGTGGAGGGCATTGGAAGGGGTTGTACATGTTCACGGCACTCACTATAACCTGCAATGTCACTGGAGGGAGGGCCTTTGGTGGCTCCTCATAGGTGGGGATCATAGCTGTTTATGGAAGTGGGAGCCTGCCTATGAAAGTGGGCACCCCAGCCACACACATATACATATTTTCACTTTTATTATGAATATAAATTTGTATGGCAAATATAAGGCATGAAATGTGCAGATGACACCAACTCAAAAGGAATAGCTATTATAAATATAGGATAGGTGTCACCTCACAGTTGACAACAGTACATGGGAAACGGATCTAAGAGATTTAAATAGATGACAAGCTGAATGTATGACAACAATGTGATCTGGCAGCAAAAAAGCCAATGTAATTCTAAAGCTGCATCAATAGGAATAGAGCAGTGCTTCTCAACCTTGTGTCCCCAGATGTTTTTGGCCTACAACTCCCAGAAGTCCCAGCCAGTTTACCAGCTATTAGGATTTCTGGAAATTGTAAGCCAAAAACATCTGGGGACCCCAGGTTGAGAAGCACTGGAATAGAGTGTCTAGATCAAAGGAAGTATTCCTCTTTGGCCAGATGTCACTTGGAATATTGTGTTCAGTTCTGGCCATCACCATTCAAGAAGGATATTGACAAGCTGGAAAGTATCTAGTGGAGGGTGACCATAACAGTTAAAGCAGCCCAACAGTGGAATATGCTACCTGGGAATGTGGTGGAGTTTACTTCTTTAGTGGTTTTTAAACAGTCTGGAAAGCCATCTGCTAGGAGTGCATAGCAGGGAGTTGGACTATAAAGCCCTTGTGGTCTCTTCCAGTTCTGGAATACTATTATTCTAACCGATTCCTCGGTTAGAATAATAGTATTTGTTACAGCAAATACTGGGGAAATTCAATTAATCCAAGTGACTAGAAATGTTGTCTTATTTAGCATATTGCAGAACTCTGCAAATTCTAAGATTCAGATTATTTTCCAAATCTTCACTTTTATTGGACTGAATTTCATCATTTATTGTAATTCTAATTGATCTATTTTTTCTTCATATTTTCTTTCTAGATTCAGTGCTATATTGACAGCAATAGCACTAATTATAACTGCTATGCAATCTGTAATTAGTGATCTGCCAAGGCTGCTAATCTAGAATTGAATGGTTCCAGGGCTAGGGACTGTTCTTAATGTAGATCCTTTTGAAAGCCTGCTGTAAAGCTTTCAAAGCATTCTGGTATTGAAATGATGATTGAGAAATCAGGAATGCAATGTCAGGTACAGGTGGTACTAGCATTTTTCTAATTCTCTCTTTTTTACTCAAACTTAGGACAAGTTGTAATCCATAGGAAGATTGCTGTACCTCTCAGCTATCAGATATTCTTTATATGGAAAGTATAAATTCAGATTCCCTACTGTTATGCTGTCTGTTGACCTTTTAGCTCCACTCAACTCATATTTCCTAGATCTCAAGTATTAACGCTATTTAAATGTTTTGAATGCATTAATTAGTAGAGGCTTTGAAACAGCACTCAGGTTAAGCATCTTAACAAATTGAGCAATAAGTCACACCACCCTGACCAACCTCTTTTCTAAGAAATCCAGTGAAGGAGATCCCAAGATCTACTTTATGTATGATATATGAAGTACACATTTTACAAAAGAGTGATAAAAACCAGACTGGTCTGACCTTCTCACCACTTATAAACCATTCTGTTTCTCCAAATTCAGTTCTGATTGTGGCCTCTTGTCCTGAATTATGCACCAGGACTGTCAATTCCCTACTGTTATGCTGTCTGTTGACTGTAGCACACACATTTCTATTGAGAGCAACCCAATTTTTTCATGAAGGACATCATTAGAAGTTTTGCTATAATCCATAAAAACCAGGCTGATTTTCTTCTCAAAATCTCTGGTGCAATCCATTATCCAATTTATGTTTGCAGTATGATCCCTAGTTCCTCTTACTTTTCTGACCCCAGTTCTAACACCTGACATTTCTCACTCCATATATGATAACAGGAGCCCCCAGTGGCACTGTGGGTTAAACCGTGGAGTTGCTTAACTTGCTGACCAAAAGGTCAATGGTTCAAATATGGGGAGTGGGATGAGCTCCTGCTATTAGCCCCAGCTTCTGCCAACCTAGCAGTTTGAAAACAAGCAAATGAGAATAGATCAATAGGTACATACTGCTCTGATGGGAGGGTAAC